CTTTGCGGTTTTTTTCTTTTTATTCAGCATGACAAACTAAATAAGAAAACATGCATTAATGCATGTTTTCTTATTTAGTTTGTCATGCTGAATAAAAAGAAAAAAACCGCAAAGCTATAAAACATAAAGGAAGTTCGAAAAATCAGTTTTACTGTAATATTGTCGGTTTTTGAGCTAAAGTAAAATTTTCAGTTTTTCAAAATTTTCTTCGCCCAGATCCAGTTCCAAAGGTCAAAACATATATATTCCGACTCAGTTTTATCGAACCATGAATGACTCGTCGAGAAAGAAAAATAGTGCTCACCCTTTGAATGACGAAAGACAGAGATTCGTAGTTTTCGTCGTGCATTAGAAGAGATCGAGAGAGATCTTTTTTCAAAGTGAAAGTTTAAAAAGTGTTTTGAAGCGGTATTTAAAAAATCAGTTCAAATTTCCAAAAAATTCGAAATAACAATCTCTTTTTACAAGGATTATCAGTATAAAGTGTCATATTGTTCCTTCATGTGTCAAGGTTTTGGTGTACCATCGGCTATCGACCATGCTGAGTCTCATGCCAATGTTTGTATTTCGGAGAAAACTTCAATAATCTGGTGAAAACCTCAATTATGTGAAATGATCTATTTAAAAAATTGTAACTCAAGTTGGAATCGATTCAAACTATTTCAAAATATCACGATACACTTTATTTCATATACTCAACCTGATTTTGTACTTAAGAGTAGTCAAAAAACACTCTCTTTCTTCCAAAGGTTTTAGGTGCATTATAACCTTCAGGTTATACTATATCACATAAAACAGAATGTCGACCGCAAATCTCTGTATCTTTCATCGTTTAAAAGTTATTTAGAAAACGATCAGGTACATTCTATTTCGAAATAAATAGTAGTTTCAATGAAAATTTTTAAGAATTTAAACATCACTCTATGCATCTAAATCAATAATTATTTCTATTCATACTGAACTATTATAACTGAAATCGGTTTTGTTGTTCGATGCTGCCTTGTGTTTTCTACTTCATTGATATTATTTATAAAAATAATAATCATACATATAGCCATCCACAGTGCGAAAGAAGGCAAAACAAAAATGAGGAACAAAAGGATAAACGCTGTTGCGATATTAGATACAATTACAAACAAAAAAATAAGTAATTGTATAAAAGTCTAACACAAAAATCAAGCGTTTTCTACATATATTGTTTCAAACGATCTCTTGATGTTGCTAAAACACAAGCACTAGCTATGGCAAAACCAGCCAATCCACCTCTTGCGGCACCTTTCAAGCCTGAAGTTGATCGATAGGCGAGTCCCGCTAATGTTCCACTGGCCAACGTATTTAATTCATCATCGACTCCACGTCCATAGCTAATAATCGTACCGATTAGACTATATATCAATGCTAAAACATTCTGATAACAAAGTCAACGGTTATATATTCCACAACAAACTATTTACCTATTGATCCAACGGCTGAAGCAGTCGAAGCGCCTTGTCTACTAACATAATTGATAATTCTAAATAATAATAAACGAATGGACAAGATAGATAGTTTAAAATAATAGCAAAATTAACGACTACTTACGAACTCGTTCGTACAGCTCCACTCAAATCTTTCGTTTCACGTAGTCCACGATAAAGGCCAGCAAAACTGCCCATAAAGCTTCCTGTAGAAAAATTAAAACATAGTACTATATTAGTTATTTAGGAAAAAATATTGAATCATTCTCACCAGCTATAACTGAACCACCAATGGTGAAAAACATGAGTTCTAATCGTCCACGACGTTCTTTTTGTCCTTCAGGTAAAATGAATTTTGAACCACTCTAAATGGAAAAAAAACAATAATAAAACATTTTATACATTAATCATTGTACACAACCCACCGGATTCAATATTTGTGGATCAAAATTCAAATATGGTGAAATTGCATTAGCACCAGGCGTTGCATAAACTATAATTAAGATATTTATTTTATAAATAATAACAAATATTAAAATGTCAACAAATATATTTTTACCTGGTACATTATTTTTGTTCTCATTCACATTATACGATCCAAACAAACTAAACCCACCACGTTTCGGTTCTTGTGAATCCATGTTGGAAACAAAATCAAAAGAAAATCTGAAAAAATAGATAAAATATTGATAGAACTGCCATCATTCAATTTCCAAATACAATTGCGAAAACGTTCATGAAGCTAAACACATGCCCATTTTCATGAAGACAACCACATCCTACGTTGGAGAAACATTAATTTTCTCGATTAGTGATCTACTTCTAGAAGACATCTTCAATAGACGTTTGAAAATTAAACATTTCTAACAAATTTTTTTAATCATCTAGTATCGTAAACTGAATATTCGTTACAGCTTATTATTATGAGAAATTGTATGAGATTTAGATCGTTATAACAAAAACAGTACCTTCTTACGAGGGAATCATCCCAACTGTCATATCGCTTTCGAGCCGAAACCTAGTGGACTACACGTAGTCGACCATGTTGATTCCGAATAGCAACACAGATGGACTCTTAGGCCTCCAGAGACTGGTTTTTCGGAAAACCAGTTTTTCAGAAACTCTCAGAAATAACTAAACTTTTCTTAATGAGGTATGATTGTTGACCGCAAATTTCTGATTAAAATGAGATATCTTCCAGCTCTACACGACCTTTTTTTACTAAGTTATAGAATTTACAAGAAAAGCGCTAAATTCATTTCGTCTTATTTCTGTAGCTTTGAGTTAACAATGAACATTTAGGGCTTTACTTGTAAATTCTATAACTTTGCAAAGAAAGGTCATATAGAGCTGGGAGATGTCTCATTTTAATCAAAAATTTGTGGGCTACAATCATACCTCATTAAGAAAGGTTTTGATTATTTTTTATAGTTTCTGACAAACTGGTTTTCCAGAAAACCAGTCTCTGGAAGCCTAAGGCCCGTCTCATGTTGATATTCGGAATCAGCATGATCCACTACCTATAGTCCACTAGGTTTCGGCTCGAAAGCGATTTGACAGTTGGGACGGTTCCCTCGTTAGTAAGGATCTCAGAGAATTGATACTTGATGAACATTAGGAATTTTTGTAGGAAAAAAAATCTTAGATAAAAATCTGACTTTTATGTTGATGACCATCAGAAATACTGTATAAATAAATGAGGTTTTTTTTTATTATACAATACTTTTAATCGTAAAACAATTTTTCTCGATTTGCAGTGTGACATTGTTATTGTATCGATTTCTTTTTCCTCGAAATTTATACACGAAAATATATATACAGACAAAAACCAACTCAAACTAACAGAATATGGTCAACGAAAGATTGAAATCTTATCTTTTACAAACTTTGTTCACATAAATTATTTATGCACAAATATCAGTATATTTCTTCTAGTATGTGATTCAGTTGCAACCTACTAAAAAGTGTGTCAAATATTAAAAGAAAACAAAAGAGAACATAAATATAAAAAAGTCTTAAACTAACAAGTGGTTACTAGATTTAATTGAGCATGATAAAAAAACAACAAAGAAAATAGGCTAAAAGTATATTAAAAACAGTAGAGACACAAACAGTGTCGTTCAATAGCTAACACATCAATAAAAGAGACTTGAGAGAATTGTATACCTGAGCAAATTGAGGCTCCTATGAACTAATCATAAAAAAAAAAGATTCCACACCACTTTGATTTAGCTTAGCACCTCTATTTGAAAGACACACACACACACGCGGGGATGAGTTTGCGTAATCAAACGTATGAATAGATCGAGAAGATATAAAAAAATAGAAATATCACGAGAATACATGCAAAGAACTAGTAATCGTTTTAACATGGAAAATGTAGCACATTTAGAAAATAATTTGCAAACACAAGAAATAAATAATAAAAAAATTTATCGGTTGTACATTAAAAAGAAAAATAGTCGATCAATTATGCACGGATAAATTATGAATTTCTGTTCCACCCTCCGTATATTGATCTTCTAGTCTGTACTGTAAACTGTTAAATGATGGACGACTTTCAGGACATTTATGCCAACATTCAAGCATTATCTCATAAAGAGATTGTGGACAATTTAATGGACGTGGTAGACGATAACCTTGTTCTACTTGACGAAGCACTTCTGCATTGGTCATACCTAAAGTAGATTAAAAAATTTTCAATAAAAATGAAATATTCTCTCTACATCTAAACCATTATAAAATGTCAAATGAAATTATTTTACAAAGTAAAAATAAATCTGTTTGTATCTAGATGGAAGCGTATGATTTTAAAAAATAAGTGTAATCTAGTAAAATAATAGTGAGGTAATGAAGTACAGAATTGCTATAAACATGATTAACTAATCATAACGTATTTATTTCATTGATATTTCGACAGAATCCACTGTCATCATCAGAATGAAAAAAAGTGTAAATGAGTGTGTCTAAGAGTGC